GTTCTTTTCTTCCAGAAGTCACAGAAGTATTAGAAGACCATGTGGTTTTATGTGGCGGCCTTGCTGGGGTTCTATTACTTGTTCCGTTGGTACCGTGAAAAACAGATTTTCCCAAACCTGACAGAGAAATATGTCTTCATAACTGGCTGTGACTCTGGATTTGGCAATCTTCTGGCTCAGCAGTTGGATGCAAAAGGCCTTCGTGTCTTGGCAGGTTGTCTGACCCAGCAGGGTGCAGAGAAGCTGAAAGAAGCGACGTCAGAACGGTTGCAGACCATCCTCATAGATGTCAACAACACAGAAAATCTGGACAAAGTAACGGAATGGGTGAAAAGCCAAGTGGGAGACAAAGGTTGGCACAGAACTCAGGCAGTCTTGGGTTTTCTTTAGGATTTGACTAAAAATAGAATAATATTCTTCTGGTGTAAATTAGGGTGAATTTTTAGAAGGGTTAGCCCCATTTTTGTCACAACAGGCCTCTGAAACTGATAATTTAAAAAAAGATACTAAGCAGGAGATTTTGATCCTAGCTTCTCTAGGTCTGAAGTCCATTTTTTAAATCTCATCTCTACACATTGCCACTCTGTACATATTGGGCAATGTGACTTGCTCAACCCCCTTCTTTCAGTGGAAAATGTTTCTTAATATGTATCGGAGACAAGAGTTACTAAACTGGACAGAACTGTTGCCCTAATACTTTCCAGGTATTTTAGACTGCAACTCCCATCAGCCTGAGCACAGACTATGGCAAATGATTAAGAGATTAAAGCAGATTAAGGATGCAAGTTGCTTGCCCTGCACTACATACAAATTTTGTCCTTGCTCATTGTGTCTTCTGTGATTGCTACTGATCTTTCTCCTCAGAGGTTTTCAGGAAATGGTAATTGTCACATTGCAATTGGCTTGGAAGAAAAGCTGTAAATGGGTGGCCTCAGGTTGTGATGAGCATGCAGATGTGTCTATGCAGCTCCAACCAACACAGCCATGTGTTAGCAACGTCAGGAAAGCTCAATTTTTCTCTTGTCCCACTAATCTTGAAATGAAGTACATGAAGTGGTGGTCTCACTTAGTGACTATTTCATTTAACAACCAACTTGTCAGTCTCAATTTTTTCAAGTTCTCATCCTGCCTTTATAATATATATTATAATGACTGAACACGGTGAACACACGGTATCTAATGTTCCTACATTTTCCTCTTTTCCCAGCAGCAACCCTGTCAGGTAAATTGACCTTAGAGACAGCTGAGTGGTCCAACTCGTTTTCATACCTAAACCAGGACTAGAATTCACATCTTCTGGTTTCTAACATGGTTGCCATAACCACTCTAAACCAACTATTCGTGGCTGCTAAACAAGGAGTAACTGCATTACTATGTCTTCCAGCAGCAGTGCATACTTGTCATGCCAGGCATATATCAGATTGACTGATTTCACAATATGTGGAAACTTTCTCAATTTGCATGGACTTGTAAGATTGAGTACTAACACTACCTTCAATAGAAGGTTGATATAATGGAATTGAAAGCACATTTCTTCCTCTTGGCTTTACTTTCCAGGGGATTAGAGGAGATTTCTTTTAAGACATGTCCCACATCTCCATTCTTCTGTGGTCTGAGATGTCTCTTGCCTAACCATTGTCCTGGCAGCAACTCCTCCTCTTCTTATCTCTCAAGGATATTCCCACAGACCATTACAAATAAGATTTATGAAAAATGATTACAAGTACTAGGGAGTTTTCATCATTAGAATAGAATAGAATAGAATTTAGAATTCTTTATTGGTCAAGTGTGATAGGACACACAAGGAATTTGTCTTCGGTGCATATGCTCTCAGTGTAAAAATGTATTCATCAATAATCATAAGAAACAACATTTAGTGATAGTCATAGGAAACCAAATAAGCAATCAAAATCTTACTAGGAAACTAAATAAAACAATATAAATTGTAAAGATACAAGCAACAATATTATAGTCATAAGTAGGATTAGATAGGTAATAGGAAGGGTGAAAAGAATAATAGTAATACAGTCTTAGTAAATTGTTTGACAGTGTTGTGGGAATTAGTTGTTTAGCAGAGTGATGGCATGGAAGAAAAAATGTCCTTGTGTCTGGTTGTTCTGGTGTATAACATTGTTTTGAGCATAGAAGTTGAAACAATTTATGTCCAGAATGTGAGGGGTCTGTAGATATTTTCACAGTCCTCTTTTTGACTCATGCAGTATACAGGTCGTCAATGGAAAGCAGGTTGATAGCAATTGTTTTTTCTGCAGTTCTAATTATCCGTTGAAGTTAGCTATCAAATGCCAAAGCAAATAAAAACATGATAATCATATTTAAATTGGTTGCTGCATGAAATCATAACAGAGATGTGTGTGGTGGACCAGTGTGGTACTGCATAGTGATTAAAATGTAAGATTAAAGTAGGGAGGCCCCAGTTCTAGATTATTCTCATTTTGTGACCAGGCCAGTCACTCTCCTGTAATCTTTTTCAAGGGTTATTCTTGTAGGGAAAATGAAAGTGAACTCAAGAATACCCCACCTTCAGTTACAAAACAGGTTTTAATGAGAACATTGCACATTGCACAGGAAAATCTATGGCCAAAACCAAAATGCTGTTATCCTTTTCTAGGTAAGCATAATTTTAAAAGAATTGACCAATGTATATATTGCATTGTGTCTTATTGTTTACTAGGGAGACGTGCCAAAAATATGACTTAATTTTCCCAAGTCTATGAGTTGAGATTAAGCTTCCATAAATCCCAGCTCTTGAGAGCTGAATTGAATGGGATACTCTTTGGATGCCTTAGAGCCGTGATGGCGCTATGGGGAGAATGCAGTACTGCAGGCTACTTCTGCTGACTGCTGGCTGACAGCAGTTCGGCAGTTCAGTCCTCACCAGCTCAAGGTTGACTCAGCCATCCATCCTTTCGAGGTGGGTAAAATGAGGACCCAGATTGCTGGGGGCAATAGGCTGATGTGTAAACCGCTTAGAGAGGGCTGTAAAGCACTGTGAAGCAGTATATAAGTCTTAAGTGCTATTGCTATTAGTTCTCTAAGCTGCCTTCTTCACATGTTTGAAGAAGAAGATTGGCTTGCCTAACATTTAAAAAGAGAGGGTGTTCCAGAGGGATGCTGCTGTAGAGGCCCCTTATCACTTAGTTGATGCCCCCTGTTTTTCTTCTTCTCATTAGGACTTTGGGGATTGGTAAACAATGCCGGTATTTCTATCCCGACTGCCCCAAACGAGTGGCTAACCAAGGAGGATTTCAAGAAAATCATAGATGTCAATCTACTTGGGTTGATTGACGTGACCTTACACATGATACCATTGTTGAGAAAAGCCAAAGGACGTATTGTCAACATTGCCAGCGTAATGGGCCGATTAAGTATTTTTGGGGGAGGCTACTGTCCTTCAAAATATGGGGTGGAATCTTTCTCTGATAGTCTCAGGTAAGTGCAATTTTCTGTTAACAGTATTGGCAAAAATTCAAATCTTTCTGGGACAGTGGAGTAAATTCTTTCATAAAACAGGTGTATTTCAGAATATAAAAGCGATTGTCACAGTAATAACAACAGTATTAGTTTACAGAAGTGTTGCAGGATACAACACTAGTGTAACTGCAGACTGATCAATTTTCTCATTTAGCACCAAAGTTAAATACAGTATCTGCAATCCAAATCTGGACCATGCTTTTATAAGTACCAACATTCCAAATTGCTGAGCAAACTTTTACATTCCAATCAGGGATTTTGACTCCCCACCCTTCTAACACATCATGCATGACCCAATTGGTTAATTAAAAAAACATTACAGTAAGAGAAAAATTGATACATAAACAGGTAATTGATAATTATTAATTAACAGGAATATTTTGCCATCACTATTGAAATTCCTCTGCTGAAAGTAACAGAGAGTGACTCATGGATGTTTGGCTCAGGCTGAAGGAAGAAAAAGATTATGAGTTTTGAACTGTAATGCGACACAAAATTAAATTGAGCTAAACCTTTTCAAGTGCAGGTAGACTGACCTCTCCTTTAAAAGAAATGATGGTTAGATCCAGGTGTATGAGAGAGACATAACAAACATAAAACAATGTAAAACTTACTGGCTAAAAAGCAAAGTGGAATATAGGTAGAGCCCCTTGACTTATGAGTCATGACCTGTTGCTTACCACCCGTTCAAAATTATGGTGGACCTTTCCAAGACTACTCACAACCTGGATTTGAAGTTCTGATAGTGTGCGCGCGCACACAGGCACACGTGTCACGTGATTGCATTCAGCAACTGGCCTGCATTTACAGCTGTTTTCATTGTCCTGCGAGCACATGACCGCAATTTATGACTTTTGTTAGAAAGCAGCACTTCTGGTTTCTGACAAAAAAAAAAAACCATTACAGAAAATGGATTCACTGAACAAATGGCATCTTCACTTAGTAACTCTGGTGACTTAATGACCACGACAAAAGTTGTAAAATTGGGTTCAGTCATGACCCACTTAACGACCA